TTTTTTTTTTTTTTTTTTTGCGGAGGGAGGTCACATGCAGAGGTACTCAGAGATCAGTCCTGGCGGGTCTCTGGGGTGGGGGAATCCGCCATGCGCAAGGCAAGCACTCCCCTGCATAGATTATTAAATACCTCCTAAAAGCCAGCGTGTGTGTTCTCGGCCGGGATCCCCCAGCCTCGCCTCTCAGGATCCCTGCCTCTGTGCCCCCCAGGGACAGCCCAGTGGCACTGCGTGGTCCCAAGCCACCATCCTGCCCCGTGTCGGTGTCCCTAACTAAGGTGGACGGGATGTCGCAGGCCTTTTCCCACGACCTGGGCCCCCAAACACCTCCTAAGTGCCCGGGTTCCCGTTCCTCTGCAGGCTTCTACGTGACGCTGGTGGTGAACCGTTGGTGGAACCAGTACCTATGCATGCCCTTTCCCGACGCGCTCATGTGCGTGGTGGCGGGCACAGTGCACGGGCGCGATGAGCGCGGCCGCCTTTACCGCCGCACGCTCATGCGCTACGCGGGGCTGTCGGCGGTGCTTATCCTGCGCTCGGTCAGCACCGCGGTCTTCAAGCGCTTCCCCACCATCGACCACGTTGTGGAGGCGGGTGAGTTTCCCCTGGCAGGAGAGGGGCGTGGTCAGGCAGTCAGGGGCGGGGCCTCACGGCGAGGGGCGGGGTCGTTAACTCCCGAACTCCCCGCCCCCCAGGGTTTATGACCCGCGAGGAGCGCAAGAAGTTCGAGAACTTGAATTCCTCCTACAACAAATACTGGGTGCCCTGCGTTTGGTTTTCCAACTTGGCGGCGCAGGCCCGCCGTGAGGGCCGCATCCGTGATAACAGCGCTCTGAAGCTACTGCTAGAGGTTGGTGGTGCCCAGAAAGTGCCAAGGAAGGGGTGCCTAGGGAGAGGGCTCAGCAGGCTCAGACTCTGCGCTGCAGCAGGCTGCATGGTGCCCTGGACCCTGCCAGGTGTGAACCCCCCAAAACTACACCAAAAAAATATATACATATATCCAGGGAAGGGCAGGTGTGTGGTGTGGTGGTAGAGTACATGGCTCATAAGTGTGAGACCCTGAGTTCCATCCCCTATCCTCTGGCATTGCAGGCAACCACTCACCTCCATTCATCGGGGGTACCCACCTGATTTCAGCCTCCATCCCATGATTTGTATTCCTTTTGTTTGTTTGGGGCCACATCCGGTGATGCTCAGGACTTACTCCTGGCTCTGAGCTCAAAAATCACTCCTGGCACTGCTGTGGGGACCAAATGGGATGTGGGGATCGAACCCGGGTCTGCCTCGTGCAAAGCAAACGCCTGACCTGATGTACTATGGCAGCGGCGCCATGACTTGTATTCTGCCCACCCCGCCCCTAGGAGCTGACAGCGTTCCGCGCCAAGTGTGGAATGCTTTTTCATTATGACTGGATCAGTGTACCTCTCGTCTACACCCAGGTAAGCTCGCAATTGAGATCTGGTTGCAAGGGGATGGGGGGAGGGGGGGGCGGGTCGCGGGGGGAAGGCGCCAGCTGAAATTCCTTCATCCCTGCACTGGTCTCACCGTAACCCCAGAAGCCAAGAGAATCCTGACCTGGCAGCCCGGTGTCCCCCTCCCTGCCCCCAGGTGGTGACCATCGCGGTGTACAGCTACTTCCTGGCCTGCCTGATCGGCCGCCAGTTTCTGGACCCTGCCCAGGGCTACACCGGCCACAACTTAGATCTGTGCGTGCCCATCTTCACCCTACTGCAGTTCTTCTTCTATGCCGGCTGGCTCAAGGCACGTGTGTGTGGGGGGGGTGGGGGGGAAGGATGGGGCAGAACCCTCAGGATGGGACACCAGGAGGTGGGGTGCACCAGGGGGTACTCAAAGCTCCGCCTACCTCCCCACTCCCCACTCAGGTAGCCGAGCAGATCATCAACCCCTTTGGAGAGGATGATGATGACTTTGAGACCAACTTACTGATCGACCGCAACTTCCAGGTGAGTCCTGCCCCCACCCCACCCGCAGTGGCCGGAGACCCCCGAGCTTGGCCACGCCTCACCCAGCCCTGCCCGCGCCCAGGTGTCCATGCTGGCCGTGGACGAGATGTATGATGACCTCGCCATAATGGAGAAGGACTTGTACTGGGACGCGACGGAGACTCGCGCCCCCTACACGGCGGCCACCGCCTTCCTACTGCAGCAGCCTTCCTTCCAGGGCTCCACCTTCGACATAACGTGAGCCCCCGGGCCGGGACAATAATTAGGACTGAGGGCATGGCTACACCTTGGGGAGTGGCTTTTTCAGTTCCAGGGCGTGGCTTGTGTTTGTGGGCGTGGTTACTTCTTGAGGCTCGGTTTTTAGGGTTCAGGGGCTAATTTAAACCTTGGGACGTGGTTTAAGCTACAGGGGTGGACGGGACCAGAACGATATAGCACAGTGGTTAGGGCGTTTGCCTTGCACGTGTGCGAATTGGGTTCAATCCCGGTATCCCCTCTGATCCCCTGAGCACAGCCAGGAGTAATTTGTGAGTGTAGAGTCAGAAGTTACCCCTGAGCATTGCCAGGTGTGGCCCAAAAGCCAAAAGCCAAAAAGAAAAGACTGGGGAGGGAGTTGAGGCTCCCAGAGGTTTTACAGCTTGGATTAAAGGGGAGATTAGTTAGGCTCAGGGACTGGGGTTGGTGGCAGATCATAAAATTTTGGGGCTGAGACTTTTTTTTTCGGGGTGGGGGTCCTACATCCGGCGATGCTCAGGGCCTACTCCTGGCTCTTAGCTCAGGGATCACTCCTGGCCGGCTGCTATGAGGTGCCAGGGATGGACCCGGGTCGGGCTCGTCCTACCCACTGTACTAGCGCTCCAGGCCCTTCCGGACTGAGGCTGGGGAACTGAGGTAGGTGTAGTTTGAGCTAAGGAAGAGGACCAAGACGGGGACCCTGGGCCATTCCTGCAGGGCAGAGTTGGACATGAAGCAGGGTGCTGTGGGTTGAGGAGCCAAGGTCTTTGGAGATACGGGAAACATTAACCTAGGAGAACCAGGAGCCGCAGCCTGCTTGCGACTGACCCTGTCAGTTATGGAGAGACCGTGCCCCTGCCCCCCTCTTCCCCCCTTGACCCAGTCCTTCGCACAGGCTGGCCAAGGAGGACATGCAGTTCCAAAGGCTGGATGGCGTGGACGTGAGGACGGGCGACGCGCAAGGCGACTTCCTGCAGCGCCTCCTGCCGGCGGGTCCGGGAAGCGCGGCGGGCGCGGGCGGCCTGCTGGGGCGGCGCCTCCCGGTGCTGCGCCGTAAGAACAGCTGCGTGTCCGAGACGTCCACGGCGCCCGGCTGCACGTGCGCGGGCGGCCACGACGGCGCGGGCCCCGAGTGCAGCTGCGGGGAGGCGCTGCTGGAACCTGGCCCACGAGAGGCGGAGCCCGAGGGCCCCGGGGTCCCTGAGCTTCCCTCCGCCACCCACACCCCGGAACCCTCCACCAACGTGCCCGCGCCTCGGGGCCCGGCCCCACCCTGGCTGCCCAGCCCCATTGGCGAGGAGGAGGAGAGCCTGACCTGAGTCTCGAGGAAGTGTCTCCAAGGACGGGGAACCAAGCCCCGGACCCCAACACGCAGGCAGAGATCTGCACATACCATGAGTAGACTCGGCCTGCCCGCTGTGGACCATTCCTGTAGATCCCCAGCCAGCTTCCGGGGCTTGGAGAGATTCCCAGACCCGTGTTGCTTCCAACTTCTTTGAACTGAAGCCAGTTCTTGCCCAGCCCCTCTTGTACCCCTGCTGCCTGAAAGGCCTTTCTCTGCATACTGCCTTTCTTTTTCTCCAAAGTGTGAAAATGTGATAGTGAAGCGGATGAGAGGACCCCAGAGGGTTTGTACATAGTAGGTGCTCAATAAAATGAGTTTTTGATTTTTTTTTTTACTTTGATATCAAGTGCCTTGTCTCTGGCACTGTGCTAAGGAAGAAGCATCTTCCTGTTTACTTGATGATAAGTCTATCCATTACTTCTGTCTGGGTGCCACACGCTTTGCTGCTCAGGAGAAGTAAGCTTCTGATGTTCGAGGACAAGATGGAGCTAGGGACCTTACCTGAGGCTCCTGCATACTAAGCCTGTGCTCCAGCAACCCCCACCCCCCGTTTTTTTGCTTTTGAGGGATCTTATGGCATGCTGGAGATTGAACCCAAGCTGGCGGAGAGCAAGGCCGGAGTCTTTCTCACTGCAGTATCATTCTGGTCCCCACCTTTACCTTTGAGATTCTTCCTCAACCCCATGGTTTATATTTTGTTTGGGGGAGGGGTGGGAAGACCCACCTACAGGTGTCCAGGGGATACTCCTGGCTAAGTGCTCAAGGGACCATGAGGTGCTGGCAATCAAACCTGGGCCTCTTGTATGCAAGACCTGGGTTCCAGCCTTTTGTGCTGTCTCTGGACCCACAGTGGTAGCTCTAGAGAACAGGCCAGGGATGGTGAGGGAGATGCTCCCAGGGGGGAACTCCTGCTTCCCGTGCAGTCTTGGGGGTGCACAGGGGATGGGACTTGGTTCCTGCGACACCAGAAAACATCTTGAAAAATAGAGGGAACTCACTATAGACACATTATCCTGTGTCCAGCAGCCGGCTATCTGGTCCAGGGGTCAGGGAGGGGATACTGACTGGTCTAAACTCAGGAGTCTGCAGCTAAGAGACAAATTAAGATGTGGAAGGGCTGGAACGATAGCACAGCGGGTAGGGTGTTTGCCTTGCACGTGGCTGACCCAGGTTCGATTCCCAGCATCCCATATGGTCCCCTGAGCTCCACCAGGAATAATTCCTGAGTGCAGACCCTGGAGTAACCTCTGCACATCGCTGGGTATGGCCAAAAAAAATAAAAAGTCCCTCCTTCCACACCCATGTTCCCTTCCTGCAGCGCCTGACTCTGGACAGGTCAGCACCAAGTGGCCGGAAGAGGCTTTCTCCCAGGAAGCCTCTGCCGTCCACACCCCAAGTGCACGCTAACGGTCACACGTGCTGGTAAGAGCATATCAGCTCTGGTGTTTTGTCTTTTATTTCCAAGTAGTGGCTGCGCCTCTAAGCCACCTCCTCGCCCTCACGGCTGTGGCAGCGGAAAGTCCTTACAGTCTTCTAGACACGACCACGTCAAAATCACATTGCTGCGGGGACCGGCCAGTCCGTCATACCTACCTCCAGCCGGCCCTGACCCCCTTTGTCCCACCTAGCGGCACTCGGGTCAGAAGTCACCACGTCAGCTGGGGGCAGGAGCCCCTCCCAGCCCCAAAAGAATTCTGGGTGCTCGGGAGGGGGGCTCAGGGTGGATCCGGGCCTGACTGGCCGGGAGGATGGCAGGATCCAGAGGCCCCTCAGTGTTTTTCCAGGGGTCGTGTGTTGAAGGTCACCTGGCGTCCCAGGAGTCCACGGCGGGCGTTGGTGGCCAGTCGCTGCTGCGCTAGGAAGGACTGGGCATGCGCAGGGGCACGCGCCTCACCTGCTCGCTGCTGCAGTGCAACGCCCTGGAAAGAGGGGCAGGGTGGGCATCAGGGGGGCTCTAGGGGGTGCCCTGCTCCTCCGACCAACACTCACCATGTTATACCAGGCGCTGATGAGCAGTTTTTCCTCCTGCTCCCGCTGACTCCGGCTCTTTTCAAAGTTCATCTACACGGGAGGCAAGAATCAGGGGCCTGCGCAGAGGTGGGGTGCGGGTAGGGCGGCCCCAAAAGCTACGGGGTGACCCTCACCTCCAGATTTTGGATGCGGGCTATCCGCTCACGCAGCTCTGTCCTCAAGCTGTGGAGGTCCCGGGACGTCCCCTGGGGGGCCTGCTGCTTGGGTTCTATTGTCTGCATGACCTAGAGGTGGGGGCAACCCCCGCCAGCCACGGTGACCTCGGGGTGGGGGGGCTGGGGCGCGGCGGTTCGGGCGGAAGGGGCGGCCCCGGCGGCCTCACCGTGCGCGCCTTGTCCACGTAACGGCGGTAGCGCTCCTCCATGGCGCGCAGGTCAGCGTCCTTCTTCCGAAGGCTTTGCTGGAGCTCCTCGATGCGCCTGCCTGCGGGGGACAGAGGGGGAAGACGAGTCCTTGCCCCCGCTCAGGGCCACGTCAGGCTGGGGGGCGGTGCCCTCCCATCCGCCCCCCATCCCTCCTGCTCTGTGCTCACTGTTGCTATCTGAGGGCGTCTCCAGATCCTCCAGGTACTCCCGCTTCTGCTGCAGTTCCACATCCTCCTGATGTAGTTGCTGCCTGCAGGCGAGGAACACAGCGGGCTCACCTCCCCCTCCCGGGCGCTTCTCCTGTACCCCCAGGGGCCTGCATGCACCCTAGCCATGGAGTAGTGCTCCAAGACCTCAGTCTGTGCCCACTGGGGCGGGGAGAACAGCTCAGCAGGCAGAGAGCATGCTTTGCATGCAGGAGATCTGGGGGCTTGATCGCCCAAGCAGTGAGCAAGCCCTGAGCACAGAGCTGGGAGTGGTTCCTGAGCACTGTCAGATGTGGCCACACAAAACCAGAAAAAAAACTAGACTCCTCCTACCCGTGGCCCAGATTCTTTGTTTTATTTGATCATACCCAGTGTTGCTCAGAACTTATCCCTGGCTCTGTGCTCAGCACTTACTCCTGGCTCTGTGCTCAGTGCTGACTCCTGGCTCTGTGCTCACTCCTGGCAGGGTTTGGAGGCTGGATTGAACCCAGGTTACCCACATGCAAGGAAAGCGTCCTACCCACTGTACCAGATAGATCCAGCCCCTGGCCCAGCTTTTTGGTTGGTTTGTTTGCTTTTGAGTCACACCCAGTAAAGCTCTGCACTCAGGGTTCACTCTTGGCAGGCTTGGGGGACTATATAGGGTGCCAGGGATCAAACCCAGGTTGATTGAGTGCAAGGCAAAAGCCCTCCCCACTGTCCTATTGCTCTGGCCCCAGACCCAACTTCCTAAACTGGCGCTCCCGTGGGGCTGGAACAATAGCACAGCGGGTAGGGCGTTTGCCTTGCATGCAGACGACCTGGGTTTGATCCCCGGCATCCCATATGGTTCCCCAAGCACCGGCAGGAGTAATTCCTGAGTGCAGAGCCAGGAGCATCGCTGGGTGTGACCCAAGAAGTAAAAAACAAAACAAAACAAGGAGTCCTGAGCAATCTGGCATATCAGAGGTTTCTGAACATGCAACCACCCAAGTTGAGTTGTGGTGATCTGGGGTGTTTATGGCAACACTTGCCGGGTCATATTTTTGAGGGAACAAAGAGGGCCCAGTGGGAAGAGTTTAGGAATCCCTGGTCCTCTGCATGTTTCCACTGGTGGGGTTCCTCTCCTAAGCAACATCCCAACCCACACAGAACCCAGCCCCCCCCACCTCTGCCCCAGCCCTGCCCCTGCAGGACTCACAGGTGCTCGTCTAGCTTCCTCTTCAGGACGGTGGGCTAGGGGGCAGAAGGGATAGGCAGTGAATGGGGGTCCCTGAGATCCAGCGGTAAGGGGGTGCCACCCGGGGCCTCCATACTTACAGTGGACTTCCCAGAGCACCGGGCAGCAGTGGGGGGAGAGAGGGGGATTACTGCGGGGTGCGAGGGAGGGCGAGGCAGGGAGGAGGCTAGCACTCACGTCCTCGGGCTTGGCCCCCTGCTCCTGTGGGGCCTTCTGCAGCTCCTCCACCTGGGCCCGCAGCTCCGACAGCTGCTGCTGGTTCAGCCTACGAGGTGTGGGGGCCGCTCAGTGCCCGCGCCCACCTCTTTGCCGACGCAGCCCCCCAGCCTCCGCGGAGTCCGCACCGGTGCTGTATCTCCAGCCGGTGGCGCGCGCGGTTGGCCTCCTCCAGGTGGCGCTGTAGCTCCTCCTGCCGCTCTCGGTCCGCCGCCTCCTGCTGGCACAGCCGCTTGTTCTCCAGCTGAAGCCGCTGCAGCGTCTCCCTGCGCAGCGGGAGGGTCCGGTCACCCCAAAGGTCTGCCGGGCTCCCGGGGGCAAGGAGAGGGCCGGCCAGGCATTAAGGCCCCGGGCCGGGTGAGAGAGGGCTTGGAAGGTGAAGAGTGGGCAGGGCGTAGCTGGCGGTGGGCGGGGTCACGGAGGATATATAAGTAGGGGGCGGGGCTACAGGGCAGCAAACCCCACTTGATCCCACTCACTCGGGGTACTGAGTAGAAACTCTCTGCACCCGGCCCAGGACCTAGGGGCTGTACTCAGGGCCGGCCCGTGTTCTGGGGTATGGGAACCGATGCGGGCGAATTTGATCCCGATGTAGCTGCGCCTGGTGGGGCTGGGGGGTTATGCGGAGGGAGGGCTCCGGAGGATGAGCCAGTCCAGGGTACCTGAGCTCCGCAGGCAGAATCTCGGCTGCCAAATTTTCTGCGGCTGGTACGGTGGAATCCAATGAAGGTCCTGAAAATTGTCGGTAAAGTCTTTCAGTCACTCTGCGCAGTACCCCAAGCCAGCCCGGGCGAGACTGCACGCCCCAGGGTCCCCCATCGGGGTCACAGCTCACCCGCCTGGGCCAGTCCCCTGCTCTGCAACTGAGCACAGCGGAGCTCGTCGTTAGCCTCCCGCAGTGAGTCCCGTTCTGTCATCAGCCGCTGGAAACAGGGTGCAAAGGTGCTGCTCAGACAAGATCAGACCTTGTCTGATGGTGGAGGGGAGGGGAGCAGAGCCAGGCAGCCCAGGATGGGCAGGGCAGGGCTTAGGCGATGGGCCCGCAGCTTCACCTCCTTCTCCTTGGTCACCGACTCATACTTTTCTTCTAGATTTCGGCACTCGAACAGCCATTTCTCGGCCTTCATGGCCTCCTCCTGTCGCTGACTCTGCAGCTCCTGAACCTGCAGGGGGTGAGGGTGAGGATGGCGGGATTGGAACGGAAGGGGAGTTTTTTTTTGCTTTTTTTTTTGCTTTTTTTTTTGCTTTTTTGTTCACACCCGGCGATGCTCAGGGGTTCCTCCTAGCTCTGCATTCAGGAATTACTCCTGGTGGTGCTCGAGGGACCATATGGGATGCTGGGAATCGAACCTAGGTCGGTGGCGTGCAAGGCAAACGCCCTACCCGCTGTGCTATCGCTCCAGCCCCAAAGAGGGGGTGTTCTGTGTGGGGGCTGACAGAGGGTCTCCACTACAGAAACCCTGAGGGGTGGGGCTTAGACAATGGGCGTATGGGCGTGACTTGAATCAAACCTAGGGGTGTGGCTTGTGTGCTAAAGAGGGACTCCTTGGGGCCCCACCCCAGGCCCTTTGCACACCTGCCTCCGCTGAGCTTCCAGCTGGGCTCGCAGGGAGCTGGCCCGCCGCAACTCTTCCTCCAGCTGCTGCGTGCGATCCGCGTGGTCTGAGTTGCGCTCCTCCAGCTGCCGCACCTGCCGCCGCAGCTCCCTTAGCTCTCCCAGCTGGCGCTGGCAACTGCTCAGTGTGGCCTCCAGCTGCCCTGCACGCTCCGAGGACTGCCTGGGGGAGGGGGCAAGTGGGGACAAGGAGTTTGGGGTCTGAGCTAAACTTGGGCGTGAGACCTCCAGGCGAGGGGAATGTGTCCCTCCTGGAGGCCTTTAGGTTCAAGTCGAGGTCACGAAGGACAGGGCTCCACCAGGGTCCGGTGCAGCTGGAAGTTTTCAGGGTGCAGAAAGGGAGTCCCTAAGAATCAGTTGATAATCAGTGATCCTTGAAAGTGGGACAGTCTTCGGCCATACGACCCTGAACTCACCCAATCTCATCTGAAAGTGGGATAGTGGGGACACACTGGGGGTACAGGGACAGGGAGGAGGTTAAGAAATCCTGGGGAGTCCCCAAGGGCAATGAGATGAGGGGGGCTTTGGGTGATGGGAATTTGAAAGTGCAGACAGGGCTCTCTAGGCACTTGACCACCAGAAGGGTGTCAGGGGAGCCCTGTGAGGTGGTAGAAGGTGCAAGAAGGTTAAGGGGGGTGGGTGGTAAGAAGGTACAAGGGGACTGGAGCGACAGGACAGCGGAGAGGGCGTTTGCCTTGCACCCGGCTGACCTGTGTTCGATCTCCAGCATCGCTAGGGTCCCTAGAGCACTGCCAGGAGTGATTCCTGAGTGCGGAGCCAGAAGTAACCCCTGAGCACTGCCGGGTATGGCCCAAAAGACCAAAAAAAAAAAAAAAAAGAGGAAGAAGAAGGTCTGCTGGCACCTAATGGGGGGGCCATGGGTGGCAGGCTACATTACTGCATGGTGGAGGCCTGGAAGGCACCAAGGGTGCTGGGGACACGGCAGGACGTGGAGGGGCGGGAGAGTGTCCTGGGGTCACAGGGAGGGCCACGAGGCCTGGGAGTGGCATGCCGAGTGTCCAGGTGGGAGCCGCCCCGCGGGCCCTCACCGGAGCTCGGCCATCTCGTCCTGCAGCGCCTGTGCCTCGTGGGCCAGACTGGCGAGCGCCTGGTTGCGCTGCTGCAGCTCCGCCACCTCCCGCTGCAGCTCCGCGCAGCGCGCATGCTCGTCCTCGCGGCTGTTCTCCAGCCGGAAGTTCTCCTCCTGCAGCTGCTCCATCTGCGTCTGCAGGAGCAGCAGCTTCTTGGCCGTGAGACCCGCGGGCCCGTCGCCCTGCGGCCGGCCCCAGCGCTCCCGCAGCACCGCGTTCTCCTGCGCCAGGTTCTGCTTCTCTTCCGCCAGGAGCTCCAGCTGCGGGGTGGGGGGACAGGGGGTCGCTGGGGGGAGGGGCTCCGGAGGCGACCCCCACCCCCACCCGAGGCGGCCCCGCCCGCACCTGCCGCTCCAGGTCCAGACAGCGCTGCCGGAGCTCGTCCCCTTCATCTCCATCCTCGCTCAGGAAGTAGTACTTGCGGGACTAAGCGGGGTACAGGAGCAGAGAAGTCAGGGACCCAGGAAGGGGATGGGGCGCAAAGGAGGCGGTCAAGAGATCCGCAGGATCTAGGAGAGGAGGCTGGGAGGCCAGCTGGCTTTCCCAGGGTAACTGACACGAGGAACAGGCCAGGCCCCGGAGAATGGTGTGAGGAGGGGGACCTCCTCCTGGCGGGGTCCTGGCCGGGGTCCCCCCACTCTTTACCTGGCTATCGAAGTTGCCGTATGTTTCTGAGGACAGGCCCTCAGGGGGGTCCTTGGTCAGGAACTAGAGGGAAGCAAGAGACCGAGGAGCGCTGAGCCCAGGCAGTTGATGCTTCTTTGACCGCAAACCCTCTGCCCAACGCGGCAGAGGTGCTGCCCTCGGTTTGGGGGTTTGGGGCTCACACCTGACAGTGCTTGCTGGGGTGGAGGTGTTTGCCCCTGACAGTGCTTGGGGAGAACTGTGGGGTGCCTGGGGTCAAAGCAGGGCTTCTGGAGCTGGAGCGTTAGTACAACGGGTAGGGCATTTGCTTTGCATGCAGCCGACCCGGGTTCAATTCCCAGCATCCCTTATGGTTCCCTGAGCACTGCCAGGAGTGATTTCTGAGTGCAATGCCAGGAGTAACCCCGGAGCATTGCTAGGTATGACCCAAAAAGCCAAAAAATTTAAAGCAAAGAATGGTTTGGGCGGGTTCAATTCCCAGTATCCCATATGGTCCCCCGAGCACTGCCAGGCCAGGAGTAATTCCTGAGTGCAGAGGCAGGAGTAACCCCTCTGCATCGCCGGGTGTGACCCAAAAAGAAAAAAAAAAGCGTGCATCAGGCACTAGGAGTCTGTTCTCTGTTCTGCCCGTTGAGCTTTGCCCGGGCATTCTTGGAACTGGCGGGCTGGGGATCAAGGCTGGGAGATGCCAATGGACACACGGGCCTTACCTCCTGGATGGCCTCCATCACCACCTGCTGGACAGACTCCTCCAGCGTCATGATCCTCTGAATGTGCTCTGGGAACAAGGTGCCAGCCACTGAGTGCCAGGGGGAGATGGAGGACGGTGTGCTCCCCTGGGGACCCCTGAGCCCCCACCCCCCCCATACCCTGCTTTTTCTCGCAGCTGACAGCACAGCCCAGCACCAGCTGAAGCAGCTTGCCCAGCTCCTCAGGGTCTGAGAACTCTCCAATGAGCTTCACATCTGGCCAGTGTTGCTCAGAAATAGGATGGCCCAGGACCTGAGTAAGAATGGGAAGAGGGGTGTCAGGGCTCACAGACCCCCCTGTGGCCCAGGCCACCCCCAAAATCCCTGCACTCACTTCCTGGGAGTAGCGCACCAGGCTCTGTAGGATGGTCGTCAGTTTGCGGACCTGGGGAGTGAATGGGCAGCTGTGTCCAGCGCCCCAGAGCCCCCCAGAAGGGGCCAGGATAGATCCCACCCTGGCCGCCCAGACTTGTCCCTCTGTATCCCTCCTCCATCCTGCTCGGCTCCACTCTCTGGGTGTCCCCTCGCCTGGGGTCCCCGCCTGTGCTGCCTGCCCACCTGTCCATCCCCCTGTCTGCAGAACACAGTCCCTTTGCACCTCCACCCCTGGCCCCCTCGGCACCATCATCTCTTCCTGGGGGTCCTGGCCACAGCTCCCTTCATGCTCCATTTTGCTGGAGCAGCCAGAGGGAAGCCTCTGCCCTGGCTCTGTAAAAATCCTTCCTTCACTCTGGAGGACACCTAAAATAGAACCGTCGGCCCAGCCAGGCCTGCCAGCCCCTGATGACCTCATCCACCTCGCTGCACCCGTGCACCGAACACTCCAGGCCATTCCTGGATCTTTCCAAGCTGATGTCCACCCCAGGGCTTTCGCTGGGGCTGGTCCAGGTGCCTACCCAGCTACCACTCAGCGGGCACCCAAGCGCTTGCTCTCTGCACCCCACCTGCTTCCTCTACAAGGGCTCACTGCCCCCAGAAGTCACTGCTGGTGTTTGTGTCCCCAAGTGTCAGCTGTGAGAGGGCCAGCTATGCCACGGTAGCCTCCGGTGATGAATGGAAGGTACACACTGGCTGGTCCCCAGATATCTGCCCCTCTCCCTGTCCAGGTCTTTCTCTCCATCACCCAGGACACGTGTGACCCTCTGGCCATCTCTGTCCCCAGCCAGGAGTCCACCTGTCACCTTCAACCTCCAGTTGGAACCTGGGTCATCGGAAATGTCCTGCAGCCAAGCCTCGTGGAACCAGGAAGGGTCTCTGGGAGAGGGAGAAGCTGGTATGAGTCCCTGGGCAGCACTAGGGGACCCCACGCCCCCACGGCCCCACTCACATCTGATTCAGAACATGGGCTACGGCCAGGCCACTGCTCAGGTCTTGGGGACTGGTACAGGGGGGTGGGACGTGGAACGTTTGCAACTGGAGAGAGGAAAGGACCACAGGCTGTCAAGGTGCGGGGTAATCAGCAACACTTTGGCCATCAACAGTCTCGCTGGGCGGCCCGGCAGCTCCGCGGGCTGTGGCCTCTGCTTACCTGAGCGCGGAGGGGGCGTGGCCTCGCCTCACCTCTGCCCAACCAGGTACGGCGGGCAAACGCGGAACTTCGCGTCCCCTGGGCCCCCAAGGGGACCACGTGACGGACCAGCTCACCTGTGCCCTCATCCCCACGTGACCCGGTCATGGAGGGGCGGGGCCTCACCTGTTCATTCCACGCAGACCTGCCACGTGATGGGGTCGGGTGCCCGGGCCAGAGTCCAACGGACCTGCTGGCCGCTGAGCCCTTCCTGCTCCCAGCCCCCGGACTGAGGAGTGGACCAAGTCAGGGAGAGACAAGCGGGCGCACACCTGTCCCCGGCCCCGCCCCCGACCTACCCAGGTGAGCAGAGACCCGCACAGCTCGACCTTGTCCACGCTCATGGCTCCCGATCGGATTCGATCCCAGCCACGGAGCCCCCGCACCGCAGCCGCCTCCAGATCTGCCACCAGCGAGCGCTCGCAGCCCCGACCTCCCGCTCGGCCTAGAGCGCCGCCCCGCCCCGCCCCCTCGGCGCAGGCCCCGCCCCGAGCACGTGACCTCCCTCCAGCGCCCGCGTCGGCCTCCAGCCGCTCCATCTTGAATCCGGGCAAATGGCGGGGCCCGCCCTGCCACGAGGGGGCAGTGTGGGCCAGCCTTGCGCCGCCCGCGCGGCCGCTGCCCTCGGCCTTCCCCAGCTCTTCGCGGGGGAGTGGGGGGTAGCGGAGACTCACGATTGTTCCTCCGCGGCCGAGGCGGAGCTGCCGCACCCTGTTTACGGGCGCGTTCCTGTCCCTTCCCTTCCCCGTAATGAAATGCTCGGCTCTAAGCAGCACTTCGGCGCTGGAACCGATTCCGCGCTCGGGGGGCGCCCAGGAGTTCTGTGGGCTCAGGGGGAGCCTCTGGGGCGAGCTGATTTGGGAGTCTTGTCCCCCACCCCGGGGTAGAGAGAAGGACATGGTTTGGCCCTAAGTCCCTGAGTGCCAAAAGGGCCAGGCAGGTAACCAGCGCGCCGGGTGACACACAGACCTGCGCCCCCGCCTGGCGCCGTCCTCCCCTGAGCAGCCCTGCGCCAGTGCGTCCCCCAACACCCTCGCCCCGGGCCCTCCTGCTTCAGCGTCTGCGGGGGGCGCGCAGCTGCAGAAACGCGGGCTTTGGGGAACAAGGCTGTGCCCACCCCCAAATCCGGCCCGGTGGAACCCCAACAACGCAGCCCCATTGCTCGGTGCCTGCAGTCATGCGGTCCCTGAGCTCAGCGACCGCAACGTCTAGGGCGGCTGTCGTCGCCCTCCCACGACCCGCGGGGACCAGGGCCCTTTGCGCTCCCCGCGCGCCCGCGAGGAAACAGGTTCTGGGTGGAGCGGCTTTTAAGGGGCGCCCAGTGAAGCCCCGAGTCTGCGGCAGCCCCTCCCCCGCGGGGCGGGCGAGGTAATGAGCCGTAATTAGAGGTTATTAGCTGTACCCCCGGGGAGGGGCGGCCTCGGCTTTGGGGGTGGGCCAGGCCCTGGGGAGGGGCACTGCGCCCCGCAGGACGGTAGCCAGCCCCTTGCTGCAAGGGGCCAGACACAGACAAGGTCACTCTGTCGCGGACACCGGACACCGGGTGACAGCCCACTCAGACGCGCCGCCACACGCTCTCGGGGACCTTGGAGACTCATCTACACCCCCACATCCCTTTCCCGGGTTGTTTTCAGCCTCTACCTCTCCCCGGAGCTGGGGGGGGCGGGGAGCTGGGAGGAAGGGGACAAGGGCCAGCCGTGCCGAGCTTCCGGACCCGGCCGTCTTCCGGCACCCCTTGCCCACAACCAGAGGGGAAATGGCCCCCCCTTGACCAGAGAGGCGCTGGAAGGGGAGCCGGAAGTCCGTCTGTGCCAGGATGGGGGGGTCCAGCCTGCCAAGAGCGGCTTTGCTTGCCCAGTGGTTGGCCGACGAGTATGTGGGTTGGGGGCTCCCTGTGTTGGCCAAGGCTGCAGGGATCCTGTCTTTTGGGGAGAACACGGGTTGCCCTAAATTCACCTCTATCATGGACATTCTAGAGGCTGTCAACCCATACCCCAGATTCAAGCATGCGTGGGGGCCCCCTACTTTGCAGAAGCCTTAACCATCCACTGGGGTCACTTGAAGGAGCCTCCCTCCAGGCCTCGCAGGGAAGATCAGCGATCCCCAATATGGAATTTCTCAGGAACCCCACTGTTGGGGGTGGATGTGAGGAGGACGGATTCCATGGGATCAGGACAGCCCCCAAGACGGAGCAGCAGGCACCCTCTAACAGATGTGAACCCCATCCTGGGTGGAGGGCCTGGGAGCGTGGGTCTGTGCCGGGAGCACGGGGCTGCTGGGGGACCCCACCCCCGCCTGCCTGTTTCCAGGAACAGCTGGGCCCAGCCTGGGCTGTGCTGCTGGGAAGCCAGTGACTCACCCCTCCCGCGGCCACAGCTGGACCCCCGCCTGCCCCCTCGGGCCTCCACATCTGGATAGAGACCCTGGGTTCCCACACTGGGAGGAGGGTTCGGCAGGGCGTGAGACTCCGAGTCCCATCATTCCCGGAGTAGGAGGTGGGGGATGTCGCGTCCCCTACATTCCCGCAGTGGGGGCATTCGGGAAGGGGTCCCTGCAAGCCAGAGACTCACGTCCTTCCAGCACCAACCCCTCCCCCTTTCTGGCTCTGCCCCTCATCTGTCTGGGGGCACCAGGCCCTGAGCAGCGCAGGCCCCGTGGTAGTAGGTGTGAGGTGGCAGGGCCGGGGGCGCCCCCAATGCGCCCCGGGCCGATGCACCCTCTGTCCCCCTGCCCGAATTGAGGTGCTGCCAGCTCTTCTCACTGCAGGCTCTCTCGCTCCCGCCTGGATTTTGAAAGTGGGGGGAGCCGCGCTGCACCCCGCAGTCCCCACAGTGCTCTGTGCACAGGAGCGCTCCCCTGAACTTGGGTGCTGGGGAGGGGGCAGTAGCCGATTCCCGAGCGCCCCTGTCCTGCGTAACCAGGGCAGCTGCGCCCCCGCGGCTGGTGGCCCTGCTTTAAGGGTCCGCTGCAGATCAGGTTCCCGGGCCCCCGGCTCGTGTCCCCTCCTCCGTGCGACAACCGCCATGCAGGAGGTCTGACCCTGGGCCGCACATCCCAGAGGGGCGGGGTGGCTGGTGACACGGTCCCCCTCTATGCGAGCCCGGATGGCCTGTGCGGGTCCCGCCACCTGGTGCCCCGCGTGCTGGGTCGCGGCGGGGCCGGGCGCCCGGCGGACCTGGACGGTGGATCGCAGTGTCCGCAGCCCTGCCTGAGGAACCGGGACGGCGCCAAAGTCACGCGGGGGTGGGGTGAGGCCGCCCCGCGTCCCACCGCTTGGGGAGCTGCGGGGGCGCGTGCGTCGTGCGTGACGTGAGTCACGACGGGGGTCGCTGCGTGCGTGGAGCCGACGCGGTCGTGCGTGCGAGCGCGCGGGGGTGGGCGGGCCGGGCCGGCTGCGCGGGCGGGGGCGGCGGCGGGAGGGGGGCGCTGGGAGCCCGGGCTGGGGGGACAGCTCCAGGGGGCCGCCGTTAACCCCTTCCTGCCCGCTCTGAAACTGGGGCCCCTGGATCGAGCGCAGGGGCTTCCCTGGCGGCGCGCGGGGCCGTCCCCTGAGTGTGTTGGGGGAGGTGGAGCGAAGCCCGGTTACCATGGGAACCGAATTCCCGCGCAGCGCGACCTCTTCCTTCTCCGCTTGCACTCCTCCCTACTCGCTCCCTCACACCGTGCCCCCAGACCCCCGCAGACCATGCAGGAGTATGGGGGGCCCCGGGGCACGGGGGCGGCGGCGAGCGAGGCTGGAGTGACTCAGGCCAGCCCGGGGGTCTCCTGGCCGCAGCCGACCTCGCTCCCCCTCTCCGCCCCCATGACTCACGCCTCCTGGCTTTCCCCGCGGGTGACTCAGGCCCCTGGGGAGGGGGCTGCGGGCCCCGAGACCCCCTTCCAGACGCGGGGCGGGGAGGGGCTCCGGCCAGCGCGGGAGGGTCGGCCCGGGCCTCCGGCTCCCGCGGCGCCCGCACTCAGCCTTGTCCCCCCAACCCGGCCACTGGGGCCTCCGGGAACCCAGCCTGCTGCCCCTTCCCCCCACCCCCCAGCCCGCAGGATGTTTTGGCAGCGCCCGTGGCGGCAATGAAACGGTTAAAGCCGTTGTTTTCTTATTCATTTCGTCCCAGGGTCCCTTTTGACTCAGAGGGAGCGAGCGGGGCTCCCGGAGGCCAGCTCTCAGCCCGCACCCACAGGGGGCCCGGGGGTGTCTCCCGAAGCGCCCATCTGAGCTCAGAGACCAGCTCTCCCCAGGGCCTCCGTCTCCCCATCCGTGAAGGGGGCCAAATAGCCGGACTCTCGGTGGCCCGCGGGGAACTCCTCCAGCCGGATCCTCCCCCAGGTGCCAGGCAGGAGCGTCCCAGCCCTGCCGCAGGCCCCACCTAAGCTTCCTGAGGCCACGGGGTTCATCCCATCCACCCCTGCCCTGTCGGGCACCCAGGAAGTGAGAGGCGGGGCAGGAATGAGGCGGAACCTGTCCAGCCCGTCCGCACCCCGCCCCTCACCCTCATTCCGGGGCCCTCAGCGGCCCCCCCACGCTGGGGGCCCCACCCCCGCGCCTGGACGCCTGGGCCCTGACCCTAGGGAGGGCACGGCCGCTGTGGACAAACTGTGTCTCTGGCACATCCTGTGGACGGCAGCTGGGTGCGCCCTCCCCGGGCAGGGCCCAAATTGCCAGGGGGGCAGAGTAAACATCAGGGCGGCCGGCCGGGCCAGACTTGGGGGGGGGTAGCCAGGAGTGTACACATACAGTCACCCCAGACAGCCAGTCCAGACACACCCCCTCCTGTCACCCAGGCCACAGACAGATGGCCACTCAGGATGGAGGGACAGGTCCAGACACACATCGGAGCAGGATGCAGGGCTGAGACCCCGGGGCATGGCCCAGCCCCCAAGGGGGGAGGGGCGTGGCTCCCAGTGGACAGGAGACAGGTCACACAGGTGACACACGCACTGGACAGGCACTGGGCAGCTCCACCTCAACCTAGGGGCCAGATGTAGAGGGACCCCAGGAGATGGCACAGCGGGCGGGGCACTGGCCTTGGACAAGGCTGACTAGGGTTCCATCCCCAGCATCCCAGGTGGTCCCCCAGCACCGCGGAGTTAGACCCCAAACCCAAACAAAGCTGTGGCGTCCACAGAGGTGTAGGGGGCCCGGGGCTCTTGCAGAGAGCCTGCCACACTCCAGGACAGATGAACTCACCCCGGGAGGCGCAGGCACACTCCCCGGACACCCCAGAAGGTGCAGCTGCACCCGGCCCACATCCAGGGCCACCAAGTCTGAGAGTCATAGACTGCCCCACTCCCCGCGCGTCTGACACAGTGGGATGCAGAGTCCTGGGCTGCACCCACACACACCTCACATATATACAGCCATAGACACACACAGGTCACACACACACACACCCCGATGGAGCCAACGGAGCACAACCCAGCCATGCACATCCACGGGACACACAGCCGCACATTCACAGA